CCCCCCCCCCCCCCTGGCTACGGGCCTGCCACACTTCATTCCATGATGGTCTACATTATTTCCAGGTTCACTGATATTCAACCCATGCACACAAGCTCTTATCCACAGTATTGGGTGGCGAAATACCTACGCATTCATCTCCATCCTGACATTCGTTGTGGGCATGTCAGCTATGGCCACCTTTCGGGAGAATGGCGAACCAAAAGTGGCCCAGCAGGAGGCTCCATCTAGCGGAGATGGGCAAAGTTCGAACGAAGATGATTCAAATAGTGGTGCTGTTGAGCCGTTGGCCAACCCTCCAATTTGGCTGGTGCTAGTCAGTGGAAGCGTGTATGTGTTAAGCATGGGTCTGAGATCCATGGCGCTATTTACCCCAGTGTTTATTTTAGTAAGTGTTTTTTTTTAAAGAATTATTACATGTAGGGCCTAGTAGACACAGTGGCAGCAGTAACAATGAGTTGTTTATCAAAGAAGTAGTGGAAGTAGAAGTAGTAGAAGAAGTAATAGTAAAATACCACTTCTGTTATTTCTAGTGACACAGAACTGTCATTGAAAGTTTGCGATTTCATTTCAGAATAGAATTTCAGTCGTCTGTCAAATAGTTGTCGACAATATATTCATTCCAGATGACGTAATTTCGTCACCGTCGTGGCTAAGACGACATTGCCCTTATACCAAGATCAACAGATTATTTCTTGACACTGAGTACTTGAAAATAAATTAAAATCGCGCTTCATTTTTCAGGTGAAGCACTTACAAAACCTCGGAGTGGCAAGCATGTCGGCTGCTGCTGTGGTCACAATCTACTCAACGGCTGACCTTTGCGGTCGTCTCTTCACCTCTTTACTGGGTGACAAGTTATTTAAGGGACGAATAATGTACGTCAACATCGTCTGCAGCGTGCTGCTTGGATTGGAGAACTTTGCCGCTGGGTTTGCCGTGCAGTATTACCAGATGGTGATTTTCGCCCTGGGTAGGCCACGAGGCATATTTGAACAGATTTGTGAAATACCTGGGATATTCATAAGGGAGTCGAGTTTGGGTTTTGGCTGGGGTGGGGTGGGGATGGGGTTAGGCTGGGGGCCGGATATTTGACTTCATGCATTCGATGGTAAAATAGCTATTCAGCATAACAAACTATTAATCTAGTTATGAATAATATAATATAACACAATATAATTAATCAATTAAAAAATTAATTTTATCTATTCCATTTATTTATTTATTTATTTATTTATTTATTTGTTTGTTTGCTTGTTTGTTTCTATTTGTTCTTTGTTTGTTTATTTATTTATTTACATTTTTGTTTCAGTGGCTGGTTTTACGGCAGGTTTGATGTCTGCCGGTATTTTCGCATCAAGCAGTGAGGTACTGGACGGCTGGTATGCCCATGAGATCTTCTCATTTAGTCGCGTTGGGAACGGTATAGGGGTTATTGTTGGCTTAGGATTGTCAGGTAAGGTACACAGAAAAACAAACAAGCAGACAAACTAGCAAACAAATAAATAAATAAATAAATAAAATAGGTGGAAATAAATAAGTAAATGAATTAATAGCTGAATAATAAACAAATAAAACAAACTAAATAAATAAATAATTATATTGCTCGCGTTAAAGATGAATGAAAAATGGACAATGAAAATAGCATAATTAAGTGCTTAGGGTGTGTGCGGAAACTTCTACCACTTATTTCATCATCATTTTAACATTGTTATTTACTATTCATCATTTTTTAAAATTCTTTTATCTCATAACTGTATAACACGCCACATTAATTGGTAGCTTAATACACTGCTTTATATTCTAGGTTCCCTTTTTACTATTTTTATTATTCCAGGTTTTATATATGACCTCACGGGATCATATCATTTGGTTTACCACCTGAACCTTGGGGTGTTCCTTTTGGCTGGCACGGGGTACGGCATCACTATTCTTCTCCGGAACCGGAAACTACGTAATAGATCTACAGACAACTCAGAACATATACCATTAAACAGTTCAAAATGATAAAGCTGTAATTTTAGTGCATTAAGGTTATATTTATTTCATTATCAGACGTTCTCTGTGTCGTGCTGGTCGGGGTCTTCTTGCGCGTGCAGGGGCTCAGAGAGAAACACTAGCGGCAAAATACAAACTGTGTTCACGACTGAGAATTTTCTGAAAAACAAACGTGGAAACTATTCAGCATATTTCAAATACATGCATATGATACATGATAGTGGACGACATAAGAGCAGTCCATTACCGGCTTAATATACAACTGTGTACATGGAAATGTGGAAGTTTTTCAACAAAGCAAGAAGCTGTACATGCTGGGCATTCGGCCTATTTCCTGTTTGCCATTGGATTGAGTGTTTAATATCTGAGACGTCGAACTTCGAACCATCATTCTAGGGAAAAAATGGAGAGTTCGTCAAAAGGGTCAAGCCTTTTTCCGTTTTCTAATATAAAATACTGGATTCAACAGTAAAAGAAAACATTTAAATTGCTATTTGTTAAAAAAAAAGAATGGACAATACGTTCCTTCCTTTCCTTTATTTATTTATTTACTTATTTGTTTGTTTGTATGTATGTTTGTATTGTTGTTATGCTGTGAACGCAAGATGCATTGTTAGCCATGACAGCGAAAAACAAGTAGTAAACCACCCGCGTTCCTCATCACATTAAATAGTGCCAAATGGGGGGGGGGGGGGGG